ATTTTAGTCAACTTGTTTGTTATGGGATGTTGATTGGGCAAAAGGTCAAAACTCCCTTTTCCATTAAGTAATAAAAGTGCCCCTTAGCTGATTGAGTTAATTCATTCTGATGTATGGGTTCCTGCTCCAGTTTGTTCTTCTTCTCATTCTTATTATTATGTTACTTTCATTGATGATTACTTGTGTTGTACATGGATGTTTTTCTTCAAAAGCAAATCTGATGTATTTTGGCTATTTATGAAGTTCAAGTTATTTGTTGAAATACATTGCTGAAAACCAATTTTTTGTTTGCTTTCACAAACGGCTTGAAGGATCATGGGATAGAGCAACAGATCTCTTTTCCACACACACTAGCTCAAAATGGAGTTGCTGAGAGAAAGAATCGGCATATTGATGAGATGGCATTTTCCCTTATGTTTTCTAGTGGTGTGCTTAAGTAATTATGGATTGAGGCATTTTACACAGCTGTATCATTAATAGGCTGCCTTCAAGTACTGTTAATGGGATCAACCCCTATGGAGTACTGTTTGGTATACATCCTAATCATCCGTGTCGAAAGGTTTTCGAAGCTATGCATATGTGCACATAGATAACGACTAAAGGAATAAGCTCTCCCCAAAGGCTGAAGTAGGCATATTTATTTTCTGCTCGGATGAGTACAAAGGATATAGATGTTGCAGTCCTAGATTAAAAAGGATATTAATTTCCAGGCATGTTGTTTTTGATAAAAGATGCTTATGGTATCTCCAAAGAAAATGTTTACAAGTGATGCAAGTTTTAAAAAAATGAAAATCAAGATATTACAATTCATCCATGATAGTTGGGAAATTCGAAATATTGTGGAAATTAGCAAAGTTGGAAGAGAAATGAAGTGGAACACATTAAAGATGCCGTTAGAATTTAAAGGGCAGCTGGAGGCATGATGGAAACAAATCCATAAAGTGACGGCCAGATTGAAGAAAGGTCCATGAAGAGGCACCATGTGATCTACGAGAAGATTTTCAACCTTTCTATGATACAAATCAAGAAGTGCGAAACGAATAAATCTGCCAGGACATAATTATAGGTCATAGATGGTCCAAGATTGGGCAGGAACCTCAGAATTTACAGCCAACCTTACAAAATTCCCTACAGCTTTAGGATGGAGAACAACATGAGAATGAGCAGCAAGATGAAGTCTAATTGAGGAGATTGAAAAGAGTGAACCATCCCATTGACAAATGGGTCAGTTATGGAAGTTTCACACACAATTTTGAGGTGTTTATGTGTGAAACTATGAAGATAAAAGAACCCAAACATTTATTTGAAGCTAAAAGAGATGGGAGGTGGACTAGAGCCATGAGAGAAGAAATACAAGCCATGTATGTTAACTGTACTTGGTGGTATACAAAGTAAAATATAAGCTTGATGGGAGCGTGGAAAGATTTAAGGCGAGACTCGTCGCAAGAGGATTTAACTACCAGCATGGCTTGGACTATGAGGAAACCTTCTCTGAAGTTATTAAAATTATCATTGTAAGGGTTGTCATATCTCTTGCTCTTATGCATGATTGACCACTTTATCAATTGGACGTCAAAAATGTGTTCCTGCATGGAGAATTAAGAGAAGTATATATGGAACAACCTCCTGGTTCCATAGTTTTATGATGCATTGAAAGAGAAAGGTTTTACTAGATCAGCAAATGATAACTCTGTATTCCTTTTGAAAGGTAAGAAAGTAGTGTTATTATTTTATTATATGTGGATGATATTATTGTCACAGGAAGTGATATAAAGATGATAAATGAAGTAAAGGAGTTTCTCAATGAAATGTTTCAAATGAAGGACCTAGGAGAATGGAGATATTTCCTTGGAATTGAAGTGGGTCATTCATGTAGTGAGATTTGCCTTCATAGCAAAAATATGATTTACATATGCTAGAGAAGCCCAATGTATTTGTATTGCCAGCCTTGCCATCCTCCAATAGCCTTAAATAAAAGATTATGTGCTAATCAAGGAGACCCACTATCAGAGCCAGAAAAATACAAAAGTATGGCTGGGGCATTACCGTACTTGACTCTCACACATCCTGATAATTCATATGCTGTTAATCAGGTTTTTTAGTACATGCATGCGCCAACTGCAGTATATAGGGAGGCATTGGAAAGGATAATGATGTGAAAGGTTCCATTGGCAATGGTTTTTGTATAAGAAAAATAAACAAATGAGTCTGGATTTGGGGTCCATAAGTGGACATTCAGTTGCAGATTGGCAAGAGAACCTGATTCTAGATAATCAGTTTCAGGCTATTATTGTGTTTTCCTAGGAGATGATATCTTGGAGTAGAAAATAGAAAACAGTTGCCAAATCAATCACTGAAGCAGAACAAGGACCTTGCTGGAATGATGGCGGAAATTACACGGTTTGAAGTTTATATCACGATTGGCTTATAAAGTTGGTAGATTATCTATTTACTGCGGTAATAGAAGTGCTTTAGTGATTGCTTCAAACCACTATTTCATGATAGAATGAAACACATTGAAATTGATTACCATTTTATCTGAGAAAAGATATGAGGCTGAAGAAGTTGAAGCAAACTTCATTGGTACAGAGGATCAAGTCGCAGACATATTTACAAAAGGTTTATCAAGGGAGAGGCATGATTATTTAAGAAGCAAGTTGTACATGTTTAAAAATGATGTACAACTTGAGGGGATTGTTAGACTTGTGATATTATTTTGTTCTTTTGTATATTTTGTGTATTTCCTTTCTTTAGGTACATGTATCTGTAAGGGGTGTAGATCTGCTGACCTAATGTATTACCACAATAATTAATAAAAAGCTGCATTACCCTGGGCCTGTGAGTATGCTTCCCAGTGGAGTTCACGCAATCCCTACACTATTTCTCTGCTCTCTCTCTCTCTCTCTCATTTCTTCTTGTTTGCCTTCTGGGTACGAAGTTCATCAACACAAGCGAAATTAACATTTTGAAGTGGCAATTGAAATTTAAGTTGGGTTTGTGATGGAGGCCTCACTGAGGGTATAGTCCTTGATAGAGCAGAATGGTGGATCAGGATTTGTGTAGCCGACCTAATTAGTTGGGAAAAGCTCTGATGATGATGATGATGTGATGTTCTCTGAGTGGCTATGGGTTTGACAAAATGCAGTTTATCTTCATTGTTGTTTTGTGAAGCTAAGGGCTTTATGTGGTGCTTGAGCATGATAGCGAGTGTAAATAACAGTAAGGTTGTGAATTAGACTTGTGTTTGATGCAGTAGAGGAAATCATGCAGTTGATGGGGTTGGGGCCCATTAATTTGTTTGGAACAGCAGTGTGGTTTCCTTTTTCTTTCTTTACTTTTTTTGACAAGATTCATTGATTGCAGAAGTTTGCCAGGGTGAAATATATGGAGATTCATGATTCACACTCGTTGAGTTGGGTTTTCATTGGAGGTGATGCCATCAGCATTACCAGATGGCTTGAGAGAGCTGTAACTTAGCTCAAGGGCGGTGAAACTCTTCAATAAGATATTTAAATTTGACATACTGACCAAAATTTGTTCACTTCTGTTATACTGTTTTACTAATCAATGTGAATAATCAAATATAAAAAATAATGGAATATCATTTTATGTCAGACTCTTCATGATGCAGCTTTGGCAGCTTGAATATAACAAAGAGAATGTCAATAATAGATCTGAACTACATTTTGATATCAAATGTTCTGGACTGTAGAAATTGTGCTTTAGTGAACACCGAATATTCCTGGACTCCAGTTCTTCAAGTCTGAAAAACTCTGGATGAACCTGCGTTTGCTTTTTTAATCAGAAAATGTTGAACGATTTGAAAGGCATTCAGAGTCTGTTTTCCTTTAGTCTCTTATTTTTTGTTTTAGAAATTTCATTGGAATTTGAAAGGTACTGCACGTTACAGTGGTAGGTGGCAAATGATATTTTAAGGTTCAAATTATTGAAGAAAGGCTGTGGCCTGCACTCGTTTTTCCTTTTCTTTTTCTTTTTAATCTAATTGAAAATGTATAACAGGTTCTTAAGTCAGAATATAGTGATTGAAACCTAATATTTTCAGTGCATAGTCTTGAACTAGCCGTGTTTCATGGTTGGAGAAATGAACATGAAATCTGGTAAGTTACACTATTACATTCCCATTCTGGAGATATTCATATGGGGGAGTTTAATTATATTGCTCCTTTTCTTTATATAGTGCCATCTTTCCATTGTATATTTCACTTTTTTGAGGCTGGGCATACTTTTCTCTCATATTTATAAGCTCAATGTTCCATGAATCTATTTCACTTAATGGTATAGCACTATAGCCCTTTCTCTGGGGTCATGAAGATGTATTATAGATTTTCTGTTTCAGAACAGCAGGAACTTATTGACATTAAAAAATAAAATAAAGCAAATCCTAGGAACTTGTCCTGGTGGTGGTAACAAATTATTATTCCCAATGGAAAATAATTAGATTATTTCTGTGATTGATGCAGAACTATTCAGATAGTGGTAGCCTTAGTACTTCCTCCCCCTGTTTCTCCTTGAAGGAAAAGGGTTTAATCTGCCATAATGGCTCTAGGAAGTTGTTTTATAGATGAACAATTCTCCCTTATTACCATGAATGTGATGGGGTTGTTCAATTATCGATATCTTGTTGTAATGGAGTATATGCTCTCAAGTAAAAATTTGCATTCTGATTATCCTGATGGACAAATCCAATTCACAGAATGTGGGTCGCCTTTTGATCATTGCAGTATTGATAGGATGGATGGGAGATTTAAACAACCTTTGAGGTTTTGTGGGTTTTTTTTGTCCATGTTAAGTTTCAAACTGCTGTGGAGTATGGTCATGGATGCACAGTTTTGCCTTTGAGAGTACATATATACGTGGCTTTGAAATTCGTAACAAACTTTGTTACTATATCTTGCAAAATCATCAATGAGAGAAATTTTCATTGTAAATCTTTAAAAAAGAAGTATTCAATTTATTTTCTCTTATTCTCATTGAAACAGTTGAACTGCGCACATCTGGAAAATTGCCTACATGAAGCCAGAGAAGAAGCGCACACTAATCTTTGTGCAGCAGACCGGAAAGCTTCTGAATATAGGGCGCTACGTGCATCTGCTATAAAGATACGTGGCCTATTTGAGAGACTTCGTACTTGTGTATCTGCTCCTGGAGGTGTTGCTGGTTTCACAGAATCATTACGTTCACTGGCTCTCTCTTTGGGCAGGTGTGCTGGCCTTCTAAACCATTTGAATTTTGTGATGTTCATATGAAGGATTCAATACTGACCATTTATATTAGGACTCTAGTTTTTCATTGCCTACAATGTGATCCTTTGGTACTGAACATTGAGCCTTGCATGGAGGGATCTTGACTTCTTAATTATAGATTTTGTTTTGTAGAAATTATTGAAGAATTAGTGGAAAAGTTTGGATAAAATAAACTGGATTGACTCATGCATTGGTCAATGACAAGTGATTTTTAATAGTTGTTCCTATATATATATATATATATATATATATATATATAGTATATATATATATATAGTAAACTAA